AGTGAGGGAGGGAGGGAGGGAGAGAGAGAGAGAGAGAGAGAGGGAGGGAGGGAGGGAGGGAGAGAGAGTGGGAGAAGGAGAAAGAGAGAGTACATGTACATTGTACATAAACAGTATAAATAAATACATATCATGTACATGTACATGAATATGCTATTGTGATATTAAATTATGCATTTAAATCTTTTTTCTCCCTCCATCTTTTAAAAAAGTACCTCGTCATGTAGACTGATTGCAATAGCAAAGTTCATCATGGCTTCTTCATCAGGCATTATACCTAACAGGTTAGGATCTGAGAGAGAGAGAGAGAGAGAGAGAAGAGAGAGAGAGTGGAGGGGGTAGAAAAAATGATACAGCTACTAATTAATAATTAAAATGCTTACTGGCCATTATTTGTTGCACTGCTGCTTGAGGATTAGATAGAACAGCCTAAAAATAGTAACAAAGCATTTATCATATGACACTAAAAATAGTAACAAGTGTTACATGTACATGATCATTAAATGTGTCATCGTTGGGTGATACTGAGAGAATATGCATAATTCAACTCAGTGACCTAATACAATGATACCAGTATCAGCTTGTATTGACTCATAATAACACAATAATAATTAATATGAGCTTCGAACAAGCTACATGTACATGTATATGCATGTACAGTGATCATATTTTACACCTACACGTATGGTCAATATGCACCAAAAAATGTAATAAATATTGGGGCCAATTTCAGAAAAACCATGGGCTATAACACAGGTATTTTTCAAAAAATGGCCAAATTCTTTAGATGACTATAACTTGAAAATTTTCAGTTGGAATCAGCTCAAACTTTCTACATAGCATAAGGACATCAATATGTATCAGAAAATGCAATAAAAATTTGGGGTGATTTCGGAGCCATTTTTTGGAAAAAACCATGGGCTATATAGTATAGGGATTTTTCAAAATTTGGCCAATTCATAAAAATGGCCATAACTTTAAAAATCTAAGTCGGAATCAGCTCAAACTTTCTACATAGCATAAGGACATCAATATGCATCAGAAAATGCAATAAAAATTTGGGGTGATTTTGGAGCCATTTTTTAGAAAAAACCATGGACTATATAGTACAGGGATTTTTTAAAAACTTGCTGATTCATAAAAATGGCCATAACTTTAAAATTCTAAGTCGGAATCAGCTCAAACTTTCTACATAGCATAAGGACATCAATATGTATCAGAAAATGTAATAAAAATTGGGTGTGATTTCGCAGCAATTTTTTAGAAAAAACCATGGGCTATAGTACAGGGATTTTTTCAAAAATTGGCCCATTCTTAAAAAAGGCCATAACTTTAAAAATCTAAGTTGGAATCAGCTCAAACTTTCTACATAGCACAAGGACATCAATATGTATCAAAAAATGTAATAAAAATTGGGTGTGATTTCGGAGCCATTTTTCAGAAAAAACCATGGGCTATAGTACAGAGATTTTTCAAAAATTGGCCCATTCTTAAAAATGGACATAACTTAAAAAATATAAGTCGGAATCATCTCAAACTTTCTACACAGCATAAGGACATGTATATACATGTATATGTACATGTACATTGTGTACAGTATGTCCACTACTCATAGTGTTAATACATAATTCAAGGCACATGTACATACAATGGTATATACATGTACATGCATATACATGTACATGTGGACTTACTTGAAGGTTAGGTACTGAAGGCTGAGCAAGAGCTACTACTTGTTCCTGGTGTTCTTGATTAGCAAGAGGAGCAGTGGGTGGAGGCATCACTAGTTCAGCCTCCAGACTTTGTTCTCTAGTGCTTGGGCTCTCTCCTTCTTTAGTCTCTCCTTCGTCATTCTTATCCTCTTCTGTTGGCTTTGGTGGGTGTGGCTTCAAGAGCTTTATGAGTATTTTAACACAAGAGGAACTGATTTGAGGATCCTAATAATAATAATAATAATAATAATAATAATAATAATAATAATAATAATAATAGTAATAATAATAATGCTAGTTACTTTCTAT